AAAAGAGATCAATGAAAAGCACCTCATAAGTCGCAGAAATTCAGAGGGAACTACTGAAATTTCAGGTAGACCGAATTTCACCAAAAATGTATCTCTACCTGAAATGAATCTGGAGAAAACTGAAGAATGTAACATTCTGGAGCCCGAGAGAATGAACCCAGAGCCACCTCATGAATGTCCCCAGAGCCTTGATGTTCAGGATGTCCCCAAAGACAGTGATGTGCAGATCAGTTGCACAGGTCATGAGATAACTAAGAATCTTGAAGTTGAGAATACTGAAAACAGCCTTTCAGGAGCTGATACATCAGGAAATTATGACAGAGATAGTGTTTCTAGTGAGTTTACACATTCAAGTGCATCCAGTCCTGACCGAGATGATTCTTCAGCTGCATTGCCTTCCTGGGACCAAGGACCCAATTCTGGGCATCAGGAGGAGAATCGCGATGATTGGAATACACAGGATCACCAAGAATCTGAACTAATGACTACTGATGGTCAAGCAGAAGTAATTTCCGAAATCAAGGGCTTGGAGAAAAACAGAGTGGACAGGTTTGAAAACAGCTTAGATCCCAAGGTTCCTAAATATTTAGAGATTTGGAGTGACTCAGTAGACGCTGATTCCTTTTCCTCTTTATCCAGCCCTGAGACAGGCAAATATTCTGAATATTCAGATGTGTATCAGGAAGGAAATCTCGTGGTTAGCCATCAAGAGAAAAAGGAGTATGATACTCCCGAAACTGAGCAGCGGGAGGATGCCAAGTTCACGTCAACCAGCTCGGGTTCTGATGATGATCGCGGAGGTGATGAAGACCCAGTGGAGAAAGAGATGCATTCAGCCACTTGCCAAGTTGCTCAGAGTGAACCCAGAGCATGGGATTCATTGGATGGCTCTAATAAGTTCTTGGACACAGCTAATCCTGAGCCTGGGGAATTTTCTGCTTACACAGGGAGTTCAGAACCAGCAGAGAATGAGAACAAGTCAGACCCATTCTGTGACAATCCACAAAGCAGTCCTGCTCACTGGAATTTCTCACCACCAAAGGAGACTGAAGTGCAGGTTACAGCAGTGGATAAGGAGATGAGATCTTCCCCAGAAGGAGAAAGTACAGAAGATGTCATATGGCAAATCTCTCCCAAAACTGAACCAAAGAATGAAAACGATTTTGAGTCGGAAAGGCTTGGCTTCTCAGCTGACAGCACTGAATGGTGGAATGCCTCTCTACAGGGAGGGCGACCAGTTGAGAGTGCATCTGAAGGGGAAGTATCAAGCTCAAGTGGGGTGTTAGAGATGGGTCCCTGGGGAGCAGCCATTCAGGGTGATACTGAACCCCTGGAAGTGCAGTGTACTGATCCTTTTGGTGATGAACATCAGTCACCCTTTCTGGATAGTAACGGGGAGAAAGCCCATGAGCATCTTTGGAATATTCAGCCAAGGCAGCCAGACCCAGAAGCTGGGCAACTTAGCCAGCTTGTAATATTGAACCACATGACAGAAAATGATTCCGGAGAGCAGACCTTCATGTCTTCTGCTGATGACAAACTCACTTCTGAAATACCTACCCAAGAGCAGTGTCCGAACACAGTGCTGTCCGTCTGGGATCAGCCAGGCCCTGCATTTACTCACACCGATGAAAATGGATGCTTTGTGTCTAATGTGTCAATGACTGAGTGTCAAGAAACAAACTGGTGGGAAGAAGAAAAATCACACCCCAGTGAAATGACAAATTCAAGCATTGCCTCTGAAGATTTCCCTGCCGTCAGTTCCTCCACCCAGTTGATGAAGAAGTCAGGCTCCGAGTGGGATGGCTCTGCCCCTGGTGAGGGCCCCCAAGGGACGTTTGTTCCAGACATTTTATACGGCAGCTTCCAAGAGGGCGGCAGCTGGCTTCAGCTTCACCGGACTTGTGGGTGGGTGTTAAGCAGCCCTTCAGTGTGAACACAGATGGTGAGAATCCTGATATTCTGACTCACTGTGACCATGACAGCAGTTCCCAGGCTTCCGACAGCCCTGATGTGTGCCACGATCATGACGCAAAGCAGGAGACTAGGCAGCCCACCAGGGCTGGGCTGGGCCCTGAAGGAGGGGAAGCCAGCGCGTTGTGCCTCACCGAGCCAGAGGCAGAAGAGGAGCCCGTTCAGGAGCTTGTCCTGTACTGTTCACAACCGTATTCTGAAAATGCAATTCCACTGCCTCCCGTCAGTGAGCCAGCAAACACAGATGACTCATCTCAGCCTGCCTCTCACAGAGGTTCTCCTGAACCTGCCGAAATAAATGGTGAAGACAGTACTAGTTTAAAAGCATCCGAAAAAGGAGCCGACCCAGGCGCAGCAGCAGTTTTGGAACCTGATGACAGAACAGTCCCAATGATTGAAAACGTGGGAGCCAGTATCTGTGTGATTCCCCAAGAGCCAGCTCTGGATGGCAGCAGCTCTTGGGTATCAGAAGGCTTTTCTCCTGAGAGTCAGACAGACACAGGGGCCCTGCTGGACCACGAGCAACCTTTTGCTACTGAGAATCCTGCCACAGTTCCTGACGCTTTGCTAGCCTCGGACACTTGTCTGGATGTAAGCGAAGCTGCCTTTGACCACAGTTTCAGCGATGCCTCGGGTCTCAACACATCCACGGGAACAATAGATGACATGAGTAAACTGACATTATCAGAAGGCAATCCTGAAACGCCATTTGATGGGGATGCAGGGAGGCATGACATCTGTTCATCTGAAGCCTCGTGGGGGGATTTTGAATATGATGTCGTGGGTCAAAATATTGATGAAGATTTAATGAAAGAGCCTGAACACTTTGTCTATGGTGGTGACCCTCCCTTGGAAGAAGATGCTCTGAAGCAAGAGCTGGCACCTTACACACCTCCCTTTGATCTGACCTATCTCACAGAACCGACTCCTGATGTCAAAGCCACAGAGGAAGCTGGGACTCCAGAGGATGAGTCTCTGGGGAGTGAAGCAGCAGAGATCTTGCTTTCTGCCCTTCCTAATCAAAGAAGGAAGGAAAACCATGCTGAGACCAAAAGTGGACAGGCCGGACACCAGCTGGTTGTCCTGCATATTCATGAGGACCCTGAGTCAGTTTCTCTGCCTGTAGAAGTGGACACCAGCATGGAGTTGTCTCCGTCAACCATTGACTGGGATGTAGAAACAGATCATTCAGATTCGCCAGCAGGTGGAGACAGAGGACCGCCAAATGGTAAGAAACACTTTGTTTCTCACCCCCAAGAAAAGGCTGCTTTCATTCAATTAATGCATTTGTAAAACACACTCTTCCTATCAAGAAGGAAGGGTCAAGAGGAACTAACTACGTTTGTAGTGGGTGCCTAGCCGAGTCCTGAGATGAAACAGTAATATCTGCCACTTATATTAATAACTGCCCTTGAGAGTGCATGAGAAAATCAAACAGCTCTACAAAAGGAACATATTTTTTAAACTCTCTCTTTAGATCATTTGCAAAGATCACAAATCACAAAGCGTGTTAATTAAGCCTTGTTCTCCCCTTCTCACCTTCATCTTCCACTTCTAGGTGCCAACAAGGGAATATTAGAGTTGGAAGAAGAAAAAATAATTCCTACCAAAGAGCCTGAGCAGATAAAATCAGAATACAGGGGAGAATGGTACCCGGCAAAGAAGGAGGATCAGCATGCGTTGCACATGGATTACATACTTGTACACCAAGAAGAAAATTCACCCTCAGAGCCAGAGGCCCGTGAAGCCAGAGAAAGCACATCAGAATTAGAAGAATTTCCCATAGATTCCGAAGAAACGAGGCTGCCAAGAACTCGGTTAGGAAGCTTCGCAGACACATGTGAGCCTGCTTCCTTAGATGAAAGAAACCATCTTTCTGCAGAAAGATTGTCTTCCAGAGATGAGAAGAGTTCTTCCTTTGAAAGCCCTGGGCAGGACCAGAGTTGGATGGTCCTGGGCCCTAGAGAGGTTGGTGATGCATCTTCGGAAACCAGGGACAGGGGGCCTGGATGGTCTGGTGAGGCTGTGGAGCCAGGCTCTGACCACGGCGTGGGCAAGGGCCCCCAAGCACAGGTTCTGAAAGAAACAAAGTCTCTAGAATCTTTAGCACTAGAGGAATCCTCCGGTCTGTGCAGCCAATCCCAGAAGAGCAAGAGCCGAGGCAGGGCTGGCCCCGAGGCAGTTATGTTGCGGGCTGTCGCCCATGACAATGAATGGGAAATGCTTTCATCACAGCCTTCTCAGAAACGCACAATCCCTGAAACGGAAATGGAGGAGGAGACAGAGTTTCTTGAGCCCAGAACGAGGAAACCAAGACCAAATGGGTAAGCAGAAAGCTAGACTTTTTTTTTCCTGTAAACTATTTTATTAGAAACTGGAGAAATGCTGAGGGGTAATGGAATATGAACAATACCTGGGTGATAGAAGCTTTGCTTTTATTTATCGCAGAGCATACATTAGTAAAAGCAACTGCTAGGTAAGCATCATGAAAATGATGTTTAATGTACATTTTCAGCCAGAGAGGCCCCTTCAATTTCCATCCGGAGTCTTGTATTTACCCTCCTGATACTTTCTCCACCTACTCTGTACCTGTATTACTCTCAAACAGGCAGGTGGAACCGGAGCGGGGAGGGCACTCACACTGATTTACAGTGCATGGCACTTTGTACGCATTATCTTATTCAGTCCTTACAACAGCCCTCAAGCGGTAAGTATGATGATCTGCATTTTTCACATACTGGTTGGGGGAGGGGAGTTGAGGCTCAGAAAGGTTCTGTAACTTGCCTGAAATTTAGTAACCAGAGTGAACACTCTGGGACTCAGCATTTCCCACCTCCGAAGCTTGTGCTTCTACAGCAGACACACTGCCTGGCGTACAGAAAAGGCGGTTGCGGTTCTATGCAAGCATCTCACTTACTAATGAAGGATAGGGAGATGCCACAGTAGGCTTAAAATCTTACTGCGAAACATTCGTTCCTTAATTGGCTGAAAAATTGGCAAATAACCATCAAACTGTTTAGCTGATAGTAACACCCCTAAATTAGGCCCACCAAAGCGTGGGTCCTTGCCTGCCAGCTGGAGAGAATTCACAGCTGAGGCAGAGGGACAGAGAGAAACTGCTTTTATTTCTCAAAAGAGGAAAAGGACAGAAAGTGCTTGAGCAGGGAGAAGGGAAGGAAAGCACTTGAACAAGGAAGAGGGGAGCAGGGGGCCGTCAGCTCAGACTGGCAGTCAGGGCAGCTCCAACCTGGGTCGGGCCACGTGGGCTTTTCTGAGAGGCCTGTGCCATCATGTCGTCCTTCCGGGTGTGATGGAAGCAGTCAGTCCTTGTTTGAGCTTTTCAGTCCTTGTATGGGCTTTTCCGGTCGTTGTCATGGCGATCGTCGGCTGTCATGGTGCTGTTGGGTGTGTCATTGGGCATGCGAATACATTACAATGAGCGTGTAATGAGACTCAAGGTCTACCCGCAGTCAAATCCTCCACCATCTTGGATAGGGTCAGTTCTAACCACTTCTTGTTTCCTCTGTGCAGCTGCCTCCTGAGACTTAGGTAAGAGTAATTGCTTTCTATTTGAGGGAGGGGCAGGGGTATAATCTTGGGGGCAACAGCCTTGGTAACAAAAAGGAAAGTTGCTTTAATCAGAATGCCTGCAATCTGGTGGACCCAGCACCCCTCCTTAAAAAATAACCCATCTCCAAAGTTTCTGTTCAGCCATGAAAGCTTCAAAGGGAAATGAAGGAATAATCTCAGTTAACTGTTGAGCTAGGTGGTCAGAATCGCATCCCCCAGTGCCTGCAGGCTTGCCCTGATCAACTGCTTGAGCCTGCTCTTCTTGGACTCGGGGAGGCCTGGGAGACTTCAGCTTTTCTATAAGCAAGAGGGTGGGGGTGGGGGCGGCCCACAGGGCCCTGCTCCCTTTGAAAACCACTCACCCACTCATTCATTCATTCATTCATTCACCCTTTGGTTTTTGAGAATCTGCTCTGTGCCCAGTTTCCAGGTAGCCAGTGGATGTCATCCCTGCCCTCAAGCTTCCAGGCCCTGCTAAAACTGTTCAGCATTGTTCATGTCTCTTCACTTGCCCTGATAAAGCCCTCCTACTCCCAGGGACAAAAGGGCAAATTGTGAAAAGTAACTTGAGTAAAGGTGAAAATCACATTTCTGCCTTAAAATCTAGTGAAGGAAAGATACCTTTTCCTACTACATTTTGGGGGCATAAAGGATTACGCACATCACGTACCCACTGCAAGTCAAGGCAGCTGGATTCCAGCCTGGCTCTACCACTGCCCGTGATGTATAACAGGGTTAACCCTAGGCTTCAGTTTCCTCATCTGTAAAAATAAGCAGGTTGGGCTGGAGGGTCTCAAGCCTTCCTTCAGTATCAAAGCCTGCGACCATAATTTGTGTGTAAATACAAAGTGTCCAGGAGAGCTTTAGCGTTGACAGATTGGTCTTCTGCAGGAACAGAGAAATCAGAACAGCAGGGGTGTATCGAAGGTTAGTGCCGTAAGGAGTTAAAAGCTGCTGCAATATTCGAGCGCAGCTTCATCAGTCCAGACATTTCCAGTTGGCCTAATCTTTCTTTCTTCCTGTCAAGCTATTTCCTTCCAGAGAGACCACAGATCCGCTATCAGAGGGAGGGCAGCAGATGGATCCCAGCAGCCCTGCTGGCATTGTTGTAGATTGAGCTCAGAAGGCAGGCAGCCTTGAGTTGGCTGCGCTATGATTTGGCTTCATGTCTGCATTGTGCACATGCCCCTGAAATCCAACAGATGATAGTGTTCCATTGTGCCACTCGCCCCTTCTAATGAGATTTCTTTGCTCGGCCCTTTCTGCTCAGCTACTGCAGGAACGAAAATTTTCTCACCGTTGGGGGAAGGGACAGGTTTTTTCCTGCTGGCATTTGTATCACCTTTTGCATAAATAATTTTACTCTGAATGTATTTGAAACCTCCCCTCCATGCTAGATTTTGGAAGGCTGCAGATTAATCCCAAACAGTGGTTTTCTAAGTGGGGCCCTAAAACCAGTAGGCCCCAGCATCACCTGGACACTTGTTAGAAACGCACAGTGCCTGCCCCACCCACCCTAGACCTCCTGAGGCAAGCACTTGGGTGGGGCTCAGCCGGCTGCGTGTCAGCACCTCTTCCAGGGGATTCTGACACACAGTAAAGTTTGAGAATCATTGGTCTAAAGCTTACTCGCCGTCTCTCTAGGATTTACAGTTTACTAAGGAAGTTAAACATGAGTGAAAAGGTAGAAAATTGCATGATATTTAAATCATGAGAGTTGATGACCAACATCAGTTTAAAAATAAATAGCTACCAGTTATGGGCACTTGCCCTGGGCCAGATACTTGAGCACTATCCCTTGTTACCATGGCAACAGTAGGAGGTAAGACACCAGGGAGGTAACTGATGCTCAGAAAAGTTGAATCACGTGCTCTGGCTTATCATTAGAAAGTGGAGAAGCTGGGATTTGAATCTGAGTCTGGAGTAGGTGTCAATGCGCATCAGTTAAGAGAGCAGCTTCTGTGCAAGACACTGCTGTGCAGGAGGAATGACGGGTGACTCAGCCAGCAGCGTCGAGAGGCCCAGGGCCTGGGACACTTTAAGAGGCCCATGAGAAGCTTTGGATTTCTTTTAAAATCAAGAGAAAAAATGCTTAAATTGTTGTGTGGATTTTTCTCCAGTGTGGATTATATTTCTTGCTGCCAATGCAGATGTAAAACAAATTGTTAGTCAGGTTTCTTTTTTTTTCTTAAATGAAGGAAGGAGCCCATGAAGGCTAAGTGCCCAAAGCCCATGAAAGTCATACTGTGACCCTGAGAAAAGCCATTCGAGCTAGGCATTAAATGAAGGTCATGGTCGGGAAAGGTGAAGAAGAGGGTGAGAGGCCAGCCAAGTTAAACCGGGGAGAAAAAGATGAAGGACATCCTGGAGACAGGAAGGCAGTCACAGGAGCAACATGATAAAATAGCCATCTTTTCCCAACCAAAAACCTGGAACCATCTTCTGACATGTTATCTGATCATAGGACCAAAATCAAGACTGTCCTGGGGAAAAAAAAAATTTAAACATGGTCTTCAAAAGTAAAAGTAGGCTGACAGCAGATGCAATGTGACACACCAGCTACAAATTGGCTTCTTGCCCTCACGTCACCCAGTCACACCCTCAGCCGTCGCACTGATCTGAGAACAGTAAGGCATATTTTCAAAATCTGAGGGAGCAGTAGAAAGATGCCTTTTCTCCTCCTACTCCACCTACTGACTCTGGCTAACAAAACGTGTTATGAGTGTGGGGAGGTAAACCAGCTCCCCTGAGATCTTCACTGTGTTCCAGTTCCCTAGCATCAGTCTTCCCAGCTGTTACCAACACCATGCTCATCCTGCAGTGTAGACCCACCAGCAAAGGATCACACACCAATTCCCCAGTGATCAGTGCATATGCCTGGTCTTTCCTCTGTGGTCACAGAGAACGTCTGCAGAGTAACCTGCGGCATATGCAGACTTTTCTGAAAACAACCATTTGTACGTTTGTTTTAAAGAAAGCATGGTTGCAAGAATGTCATGTGAAGAAAGAGTACTTAGAAAGGGTATTAGTCAGTGTTCTCCAGAGACACAGAACCAATAGGAGCAATACATGTATATGTATGAGAGACGGAGAAGGGAAGGAGGAAGGAAGGAGAAATTGTTTCAAGGAATTGGAATTGGCTCACAAAATTTTAGGGACTGGCAAGTATGAATTTTGTAGGACAGGCCAGCAGGCTAGAAACTCAGGCAAGAGTCGTTGCAATCTTGAGTCAGAGTCTGCAGGGCAGCAGGCTGGAAACTTAGGCAGAGCCTCTGTGTTGCAGACTTGAGGTGAGTTCCTTCCTGTTCAGGAAAATTCAGACTTTGCTTGTAAGGCCTTCAACTGATTGGATGAGGCCCACCCACACTCCCAGAGGTAATCTGCCTTACTCAAAGCCTGCTGATCTCAGTGCTAATCACATCTAAAAAAAAATACCTTCACAGCAACATCTAGACTGGTTGACCAGATAAGTGGGCACTAGAGCCTAGCCAAATTGACCCATAATATTATCAGAGGTTATATGCAGAAATGAACTACATGCTAAGAACATGGGCCATTAACATAGTAAACTTATTAACTGAATTATATTTTAAAATGAGAGGACTGATAGAAAAACATTGGCTTTCTATAGGTGTGGGCAAACATACAGCTTTGTGGGGTGATGAAAGGAAATAATTTCCAGGAGGACTAAGAAGACTGACAATTCTTGTCCCATCTTTTGTAGAAAACATGCAGCAGGGGGGCAGTGGGAAAG